GGCGAGTGGAGTTTATACCAAAAAGTTCTATTTTGGTCTCATCTGACGACATGACCTTCTCCCATGACTCCTCTGGATCATCCAGATGGTCCTTGGCAAACTTCAGATGGGCCTGGACATGTGCTGGCTTGAGCAGAGAGACTTTGCGTGCGCTGCAGGATTTTAAGCCATGACAGGGTAGTGTGTTACTAATGGTAATCACTGACACTGTGGTCCCAGCTCTCTTCAGGTCATTGACCAGGTCCTCCCATTTAGTTCTAGGCTGATCCCTCACCTTTCTCCGGATCATTGATACTCCACGAGGCCAGATCTTGCATGGAGACCCGGTCAGAGGGAGATTGACAGTCATCTTGAATTTCTTCCATTTTCTAATAATTGCACCAACAGTTGTTGCCTTCTCACCAAGCTGTTTGCCTATTGTCCTGTAGCCCATCCCAGCCTTGTGCAGGTCTACAATTTTGTCCCTAGTGGCCTTAGACAGCTCTTTGGTCTTGCCCATAGTGGAGAATTTGGAGTCTGACAGATTGAGTTTGTGGACAGGTGTCTTTTATACAGGTAACGAGTTCAAGCAGGTGCAATTAATACAGGCAATGAGTGGAGGATAGGAGGGCTTCTTAAAGACAAACTAACAGGTCTGTGAGCACCAGAATTCTTGCTGGTTGGTATGTGATCAAATACTTATTTCATACAATAAAATGGAAATAATTTTTTTTTTACAAATCTAACAATGTGACTTACTGGAATTTTTTGTAGATTCTGTCTCTCACAGTTGAGGTGTACCTACGATGAAAATTACAGATCTGTCCATTCTTTGTAAGTGGGAAAACCTGAAAATGCTGTATCAAATACTTATTTGCCCCACTGTATTCTAGATACCAATCACCAGATTAATAAAAATCATTAAACCGTCTACTGTATTCCACAGTTTCACAATTTTTTTTAACAGTGTGCCACATAGCATAACAATGTGCAGTCCAACAGTTAACATAAATACAACGGTGACATTACCACCATTTAGAGTACAGTGATGCTGTAAAAAAAATAGTCTACTACCCTTGTCAAAGAGGTGCTGTTTCAACCCTAGAGTGCAGTACATCCTAGCATTCAGGCCCACTGAACACAGTAAATGTGCCACACAAACAGTAGAAGCAGCCAGGATATAAAAAGTAGCAGATGATTGAACTGCCGGAAACTACAGCATTTCAGTGATGCAACAAAAAAAAAGGTACGACAGTATTGATGCCAGAGTAACCTATAATGCACCGCAATACCCCACTGAAAGGTGGTATAATGCGATATCACTGATTTGTCCTAACCCTAGGCTAATTCTTACCCTTCAATGTTTATCACTGTGAAATGTTTAATTAATTCTCAGCCAAATCTGATACAGCCTCAGGTGCCAAGTAAACTCACTGGATCTTTATCCACCATTATGCTCTTTGGATTTGGAATCATCATTGAATATTAGGATATTAGTATAAAGCCATCATGGACAACAAAAGAACTGAAAGTGCTATGGCTTTGACAAGCAACTTTGTTTATTGTCATACGTTCATAAAAGCTACTATAACATCAAATGTTAGCAAGCCGCTGAGTAATGGAATAAGTATCAAATACATTAAATTAAAACGCTAACATACGTATATTACTATGCCATAACATCAACTCCAGCCTGACAACTGTTAAACCTTTGATGAGAAAACAAAATGAAGCTTTGCTCTCTTAAAATATCTACATAGCCATTATAGCAAATATGCATTTCCTCATTGAGTACCAAATACAATGGGTAGTAGGTTTTATGCTTAAATAACTAATATCAAAAGTGTGTCAGTAATGACTGCAAGTATACAGGTTGTCATTCAACCCAAACTACCCCACAGCAGGTAACTATATCAATCAGTTTGTTTTGGTTGAAGACGTGACAGTGTGTTAAATGACAAAGTGCAGTTTTTTGCTTTAGCTCCAAAATTCAATGGCTAAATCGTCACAAAACTGGGCAATTTTGTTTCAGAAGTTTCTTCTAAAAGATCTGTTGTATTCATACACCCTGTGATATTGCCTCAATTATTTAATAGATTCTAATTCCAGCAAGAACATAGGAGATTCTTCACTTTTTTGGGTGGGGGGTGGTAACAGAAATCTTTTGAAGTCAGCAAAATATGATCTTGATATCATAAGGTTTATGAAATAATCATTCAGCAATCATGGCGTTTTCCAACATAATGCTGGCTTAACCTGTCCTTTTTGAGCATGTCTTAAGATTACCAGCAGTGTTCAGCCATGAAAAGATAGCTGAGAAATTATGTTGAGATCACAAAAAAGTTATAAATAAAAGAAATTTTTAAAAAATTGTTACCACTACCTTAATTTCCATGGTCACAATATTAATAGTAAGATACACGTATGTGCACTTGTAGGCTTTCTCTGCTTTAACCTTACACATGACATATGTCACATAAATACACCAAGCAAATGTTTATACTTTTCTAATAAGCCATCATTTCTCTGCAATGATTATATTACTCATATAGTCCTTATTCATGTAAAATGTTTCATAGCTCCATGACACGATTAACAGTACACAAATATATCTGTATGAGCTGAATAGCATTTAAAATACTTGTAAGACCTGCATGATTGTGCAGTACTTATGGTGTGTGTGAGGATTCATAAGCTAAATTTAAGTGTGTGTAAATGCTGTCTCTACAAAATAGCACTTTAACTTGAGGTATTTTAAATCTAAAGTTGACGTTTTGTTGGTTCAGAACGGTCGCTGTACGGACAGCCATCTGAAAACAGGCAGCTTTTGTACAACACACCCCCAAGATGTCACTGTCATTGGCTGGGAGGCGCAAACGCTCCTGGTTATTCAAGCTATGCTAGTTCCTTGTATGCATTAGTAAATCAAAACTATATTTTACGCTAGATTTTATAGCTATTCTACCAATAACTGTGCTAGATGTAAATAAACGATTGCGTTGGCTATAACACTGCAGACACCTCCACCCTCCTCAGTAATGACGCTCGCGCTTGCCGTCAATTTCTTGTTGAGCGCTAAAATTTTCAACTTGTCTATGGTTACTAAACATTGTGTATCGTTAATATCCTGTCCTGAAATTGATTCTAAAAGTAAATATGTTATTTAATGTCACCGTGTGGTCAAAGTACAGATGCTTCAAGTTCAGGTTTCATGTTTTAATGGCAATATTCAGCATGAGAGCATTGTATAGCCTGAGACAAAAGCCCACTGCAGCCCCTTCACTGCCCTCACAACGGACCCCCTCCCCAGCGTTTAATCTAGCTAGCTAGCAAGCTCGTTTCCAGCACTACACAGCCTCGCTGACTGGCTGTCTGGGAGTAGCACAGCTCACTCTCCTTCGCCCCGACATTTTCCTATCAGTTCCCTGTATTCTCGCTTCAGAATCAGCGAGCTGTTAAACGCAGATGTGGGTTAAATTTAGGTTAAAGCAGTTAAAGTACTCAGTATGTGTGGTGTTAACACACGTGGCACACAACTGTACCAAGCCCCCGCAAACACATAACATTCCATTTTCGCACGCAGTTTACGTCGTTAGCTTAACATTAGCCTGCTCGTTGTAACCAAATGGCTAACGTTAACTGGGGTTTTTAGCTCTCGTGTGCTGAGACAATCATACAACAAACCTTATTTTGCACTTACCTTTAAACAGGGTTGCACGTTCCCACCTACTCATTCGCGTTCAACTATATGTGACTATTGCGCAATATAAGCAGTTATTTCCTAATTACTGGACGTTAACCGTAGCCTACGGCTGTGTGACGTTCATCGCAGGTTTTGAAAACATCCTAGCCGTTCGTTGCCTGTCCTCTCCCAGAAAAGCCTAGCAAAACATGCAAGCTTAGTTCTCATTGGCTGAGCAGAGTCATGTGACCGCTTGAGCTCCATCGAGCTTATAAGGTCTACGTCTGCTGGATAGACTGTAGATAGGTATGTCAAACGATTTAACTCTTGTTTTATCGATGTTACGGGTAAAACAGTACATTTAATCTTAGGAATATTGTTTGTGCTGTCACATTAGGTCAGCTGGTGGTATTTGTAACATCTGCGGATGGCTGTTAGCATGTGAATTTGGACTGAACGGACTAGAGATGGAGAACAGTAATGGGCACTTGACGTCATCTTTTCCGTTGCTGTGTTGCGGTCAGTGGGAACTTTCTCGAAGATCACGGCTGAGGTTCATAATGAAACGGCGGTCCCTCTCTTTTTTTGAGCATGCTACATAGTTTGGCCATCATTCCTAGAATAAACTGGTCGCGTCAACTGGTCGTTATAGCCCGCCAGCTCTTTGTAATGGCAGCTTTGAACTGGTTGCGCAGTGACATTTGCATCATGGTCAACACTGCGCGCATGCGTCAGGGTGCATAATATATGTTGCAGGGCAGGCTTCAAAGTCGCTAGAAGAAACCGGGGTGGGGGAGGTGCACCGGCTAGACACGAAAACGCCACCGGGGCGGGATAGAAATGACAGGAGCAGTTACAGGAAAGGGGGCTGCGTTGTTGAGGATTTATAATAATAGCCTGGCCGGATTACTTTGAAGATATCTGGATTAAACTCAAAACTAGTCAGAATATTAGCATGGCTGTAATTATATTTTGATTTCAAAGACTTATTTTTCCACCAAGTTGTAGTCTCCAATTAATGAGTCTTGTATGTACATTGTACAGATGTCTTGAGTTAAACACTACTTTAAACATACATTAAATATTTATTAAATTGTAATGATCACTTTAATAAGAAGCATTTGATTATTCACAAATCACAGTATCTTAATTTGTTTTGGGATATTTCGATTTTGATTCATAGTCAAAAGTAGTATTAATAAATTCAGCTCAGAGTTAAGATATTAGAGCTGCAACCACTAGTCTGATTATTGAAGCAATAGATTAAATAACCAGCAGTTGATAGTCCAGCAAAAAGTCTAAATTTTGCACTATTTATAGACAGATTAATCCAGAAAATAATCTGCAGACTAAACAATAATGAAAAAAAAAAGAATTTTCCATAAGTACATAGTTATTCAGACAAGTAAATGTATTTGGATATATTTGTTTTGCAAAGTGGGCAGAGATGGGAACATTTCATGTGCCACAGTTGCACAAGACAGAGATTTATGTACACATGTTGACCTCGCTGTTTTGCATGAGCTTGTATCTTGAATAACTGACTGGTCACACTGTAGCAATGACTACTGAACATGCATTTTGTAGGTATGCACTGTATGCTTGATAGTTAAGTGAAACTCTTTAGAAACCTGCCAGAGAAAGAAGTGATTTATGTGGTTATTTTTTTCTGCTACAACATGGAGTAAAACCAGGTTATATACATTTCCTTTTGGCAAGCTACAACAGTCCAGTTCAGAAAATACCCTAATTTAACTGCTATAAATCTTAAAGGCCTTGAAAAGGCACAGCATAATATTAATTCTGGAAAATACATATTATTTGAGTCCAGAAAATTCCTTTACAGAACAGTTGCAGGCGTATGTATTCATATATCAAACTCTATGGTTAAGAGTAGCTGACAGATACTATAGTTGTTGTCACAGGTAAAATTCAAAATATATCATCTGTACCACTAGATCTGTTTACAGTTATTACCTCTGTGTTTGAATCCCTGTAAATGACACACTGACACCTGGAGCAGAGGCACATGAATGATTTATTTACACAATGTTTGAGTTAAATATAATACCAGCTTTAGGCAAAAGTTGCTTTAGAAAAAAAAAAGCAGGTGATAGCCAGAAATGTCTACAGGTCTGGTCTTATACCGAAGCCGGGTCCTTTGGGAGGCTCTGTCAGAGAAGTTAATCCTCCTGCAGGCTCACAGGAGAAGCGCCCGCTCCTGTAGGAAAAGGGAAAGAAAATAACGTTCAGTCAGTGCACATATAACTGACACTAAGATGTAAATGAAATTATATTAATGACTCCATGATGGGGATTTTGTATGTACCTGGGTCCTGGTGGTGGGATTCTTCCTGCTTTAAGATCATCAATAATATCCTCAATATCCTTAGGTGTAAGGTCCTCCTGGAAACGAGAAGAAAGCAGATTAAATGAGAAGAAAGCAGCAAAGTGCTTTGCTTTTCATTGCTAGTGGTCTTGTGCTCGACTTTCACATTCACATTCTTGAACTTGTGTGAGGAACTGGTCTCCTCTATTAAATTAAATGCTAAAGAGAGAACAAAAAAGTTAAGGAGGTAATAACAGAAAACACTTGTGCTATTTAGCATATGATGATTATACTTTATTGTTAAAGGGGAAAACATTTTTCCAGGTGTCATATGAACATAGGGTTGACACTGCCAGTCAAAATGAACCAATTTCCTTAAATAATAATGTTTTTTTTGAAATTCAGAATAAAAGGTCACATAGTTTTCTACTACAGCAGATAATTTGGTGCTATCACTAATTTATTCACAAAACTGCCACAGTTATAGCAATAGTCAGCTGTTTTCCCATTTTTGGCTGGATTGTAGTAAGCTATTATCTTGTGAATACTGTGCTATATGCAAATATAATAAACTGGCTTTACATTGACTTTTTTTTTTTAACTGTGGCCAGCACTAAAGAGGTTAAAACTATCAAATAACACAACTTTAATTCATTTTTAACTCAGGTCAACCAAAGTATAGCCAGTCTGTCAGTATTCCTGTTCACTCACTCAAAGTGATAGTGTTTTAAATTACTAATGAATGTAGACTCTTAACCAGTAACATGTTTGTTTAAACAGGGTTAATTTCCTGTGTTAGTTTGTATTTCATATTCCAATATCTAAGCCTGATTGAATCAGACATTTAAATTCCAAAAACAAGCTGACAGGCTGTTAAACATGCAGCTACACTAATGTTGCCACAGTGCTACTTCTACCATTACAATTAAAAGTCCTAAACAACCTCACACACACAAAGTATGCCCTCTTATATAAACCTTAACGCATCCAAGTGATGACTAAACTATTTGCATTTCTGAGTTCTTCTCCTGTGCTCAGCTTATGGCAACTGAAACAAGGCTGAGAGATTGTATCCTAATTTCAAGCTTTATTCTAATTTTGCGCATTGAATTATAATGTTCAGAAAAGAATCCATCTGCACAGAAAAGTCAAGCACTCACATAATAGTTGTCATTGATCTGTACCATTGGAGCATTCACACAGGCACCCAGGCATTCCACTTCTATTAGAGTGAACATCTTGTCTGGAGTGGTCTCTCCAACCTTGATACCTGTGGAGAAGAAAATGAATACATGCTTCACTGATGAAATGCCTCATTGATCTACACACAGTACTCCACTATGACAAAGCAAACACAGGTTTTTGGACACTTTGTTATGAGCTCTGGTCCATCCTGTGGTCAACAGCATTGTAGCCTCCATCATTCTGAATTGGAAGAAGTTCAGAACCATCAACACTCTTCCTAGATATCGGCAGCTAACTGAATAATTGCAATCAGACAGGTAACCAAGAGCCCAGTGGTCAGTAAGGATGACATCTAGGGTTCTTTTGTGGAGACAGGAGAAGCTTACAAAAAAGGCAACCATCAGTACCTGCAATCTACCAATCCGGGCTTTATGCCATTCCTAACTAAAAGACAACAATCCACTGGGAGTTTGCCAAAAGGCACTGGAACAACTCTCAAACCATGAGAGTCCATAAATAAATAGTATTGTGTGAAATATTTGGTCACAATTCCCAACATGTATAGAGGAAACCAGCCACCAAGCATCACCTCATTAATACCATCCTTACAGTCAAACACAGCAGTGGCAGCATCATGCTCTGGGGATGTTTTTCTGAAACAGGGAAGAGACGAATGCAGAAAAATACAGAGCAACCCAAGGAGAAAAAACACTTCCAGAAGGCTCGGGATCTCAGGTTGGGGTGGAGGTTTACATTCCAGCAAGACAACAACCTGAAGCATACTGTCAAAACAACACAGGAGCTGCTTTGGAAAAAGTCTGTGAAAGCCCTGGAGTGGCCCAGCCAGACGCCGGTCCTGAGCCCAATAAACTATCTCTTGAGAGATCTGAATATGACTGTGCACCAGTGCTCTCCATCAAACCTGGTTGAGCTTGAACAATTCTGCCAAGATCAAGGGGGGAAGGGGTACCAAACTTTTAGGATCATTCTGAAGTAGACACTGCTGTCAAAAGTTCTTTAACCAAGTTCCAATTTAAGGGTCTGAATACTTCCATTTTTTTTTTTTTTTAATGAATTTAAATTACACACACACACACACACCCCAAAAAGGTTTGCTTTGTCTTTGTGGAGTATTGTGTGTATATTGTTAATATGAATTAAATCAATTTTAAGATGAGTCTGACTAGTAACAAAATATGGAAAACTAGAAAGGCTCTGAAAGCTTTCCATATGTAGTGTAAGTGACTGATCTCCTGATAAGCTGCAGATTATGTTACTGAAACAACTAATTTCTTAACTCAAGCAGAATTACTGGACACTACACAGCTGTAACACTATAAGTGACTGATAAGAGAGAGGAAACCTCACTATATGTCACATAGACCGAGGTAGGTTAGCAGTTGGCTGTGTGTATACTTCTTGTTTGCTGCCACAGCTCACTGTTTGAACAGCACTAACAATTGTATATTTACATGTTTGTTCCCACTCTCCATTTATCTGAAATATACACAATAAAAAGGATTGCTTTCATTTGCTTTTTCATGTCTTCACTGGTGCTCCACTGTAAAATGGAAAATGGCTCTTACCTAGTTTGTTTTGGATGGCCTCCAGGATGCTGTCTGAGTTGCAGAGCATGCAGGGTGTTGTGGTGCAGACTTGTATGAAGTATTTTCCCACGGGCTGACGCAGGAACATTGTATAGAATGTCGCTACTTCATACACTCTCATTGGAGGAATTTCCAGGACCTCAGCAACCTGAATGAAAACAATTACAAATACGCAGTGAGGTTCCATTAAGATAGGATAGGATAAGACTTTATTAATCCCACAATGGGAAAATTCCTGTTTCAGCAGCAATAGAGAACAAACAAACACCATAAGAACAACAAACAAACACCATAAGGATTTCTGAAAAACAAATATGTAAAACAAAGACAAAATATAGTATGTAAAAGAAATCAAGAACAACAAGATATTACATTTCTCTACTGTAGTAACTTTCATTAACATGTTATCCAACTGATTTTTTATGATGATTACAACTATCAAATTAGCATCACAGAGCTGTAAAACAAATTCCCGAAGAATCACCCTGCCTTGTTCATGGCCGAGATGGGGAGCCATCCATGTTGCCTCTGGGCTAAATCCAACACTGGGATGGTGGCCGCTTGTTTGTGTCCAACGGGGTACATTGAAACGATCACCTCAATCCTCTGAAGAAACAAAAAAAATTTACAGCAAATGTTACAACTTGTAATTATTACATTCCTATTTTATATCTTATTTATTTATAGTTAGCTTCAAATATAAATATGAATTTTACCATAAAACAATCCTCATTCTTTTGAAAATGCGGTGCTTGTGTTTTACTGCCTAGTACAATGGCAAGTACCCATTTAACAAAGTATAGACAGAAATCCCCACTATCATGTTTCAGCTTTGTAGAAAGACAAAAACACTATAGGAAAAAATATATCATGGGACTGAAACTAGTGCAGCTGAAGCTGACTTGCAAGGGGCGAGGGACTTCCATACAATTTGAGCTTGTTAGATATGCCTCTCAAACCCATATCTGAAAAATGTAACTTGTTTGCACTTAAATTTGTATTAGACTAATATGAGATCTATCTTTGGAATTGGCAAATACAGGTGCAAAATGCTCTGTATTGGTGCAGGCTTCAAACCAAAAACCACAACATTGCATCCCCTAAATGTTCTGCTCACAGATGTCAGTCTTACCTTTTTGTTCTCCTCGGTGAACTCAAAAGGAGTATCAGGGTTGTTGTCAGGAGCATCTCTGTGCTAAAACAGAAATATCATTGTGTTAGAGGACAGTTTGAATAGCAGTCATCAGCCAGTTAATATTAAATCCTGTCACATGCTATCAAAAGTGTAAAATTAACTAAAAGAGAATTTATACTTGACAATTACCACTTTCATGAATAGCAACAGGCTTTTGGGCACTTTATAATTGTAGCCCATAGGGGAAACAGGTGCTGCAATCAGACCATAGATAACAATTATTTCTGCTTCTGCACACACTGCCCCCTTGTGAGCAGCAAATATCCTTTGAACATTTAAGAAAAACAACTTTAAATTTAGTGGGACTTGAAGTTAGTATGTCAAACACAAACATTCCTGATTGAAGAGAAGCGACTCAAAAACAGTTCATCCAAACCTTTTTTTTTTTTTTTTTTTTTACAATCCAATCACAGATTAAAAACATCTTTTCTGTCAAGAGACTAGGAAACCATGGCATGTTTCCATTACGTGAGAATGCCACATGAGATGTTTTTGTTGCACAGCATGGCTATAATGGGCTCTAAAGGCAGCTCCCACGATAAATCAGCTTTTGGAAAACTGGTACTTTTGGGATTATTAAAGCAAGAATGGAAGCAGAAACATACTGTTGCATATTTCACATTTACACACTTGATTTACTGACAAAATTTGAAATAAATACAAATGATGTAACCACCTGCAAATAACATAATTAAACTTGGAAATGTTTTTTTAATTGATAATGTGTGTAAATACTTAAATAAAACAGGACTACTTCATATAGAATAACTTAGATAGACACCTAATACCTCAGCCATAATCACGAAGAAGGGAACAGAGAATGAAGGGAAGAAAGCTGATCTAGATTTAGTCTTGTTGTTTAATTTCTTGAGACCTAGCACCACACTACTTTTCTTTTCTCTGTTAAAATTGATTAATTTGTAAAAATATATTTTCAAACTATAAATTAATGCAACAAAGTATGTAAACATACCCAACACTGTAAGGTCACAGAAATATAAAAATAATGGAAGGATAATACGAAATAGTTACGTACATACACGGTTTCTATTACAACTGGACCAGCTGCACTGATACAAGGACATAGAGGCCAATAATAAGAAAAAGTAATACTAATATATATCTAGACAAAACATTTCATTGTTGTGCACATCTTAAGCAGCACAAAGAAAAGTCTGACTTTCTATTACAGTGGTCTTTCAGTGGTAGCTCTGTGCATTCATTTCTTTGCCATGTAAAAGTAGTCCCTGATTTCAAACCCAGAAAGAAATCCACTAATATTCTGGGTCCCATTAAATAAACTTTGGGACAAAGTTCTCATAAGGATTCTGATTTAAGCATAGTGACAAAATGGCAATCAATTCTTACAATCATTCGGAATCATCACATAAATTGATGATACACTGAACGCTAACTGTGAGGTGCTGAACAGACACAATCAAGCCCGACTACACAACACCGGTGACTACTCTCTATCCAACTTGTTATTCATTGGCAAAGAAACTGTAACTAACCACAAAGATGCCTCCAGCTCCAGCACGTGCAGCAGATTGATGCAGACTTCTGACCTGCCTGGCCTGCAAACACAGAGAAAGAAGACAAAATGTCTGGGTAGTATGTGAATGGGTACGTCAACTTCCCAAGAGATAGACTTCTGCCAGTCATGTCTTGTTTCAGTCGGGAAACTGATTTGATTTGATTTGATTTGATTTGATTTATTCTTTCAAACATGCAGAACAAACAACATCAACACACACATAATTATACAAATCCAACCAATGCTGATTCAGAATCAGTTTGCTTATACCTAGTACATGTTTGAACGGAGTAGGAAGAAGTCAGACTTATCCAGTCCTACCCCAGAACATCATCTTATACAAAAAATTTCATGCATCATTGGCTGCAAGCAGTATCTCTACATAGGTAATTCTCTTCTTCACCAGACAAGTAATACACAGAAAATTTAAAAGAGTGTTTCCTGCATTCTTGATTAAATCTCTTATTCTTGCATGTATCTTGAATGACACATACATTTATATTTATATTTAAACTCCTCGATTCTAGTACTGTTTTTCATGTCCACACTTAAATTATTCCATAATTTAACCCCACTTATAGAAATACAAAATCTTTTTTTGGTCGTACGTATAGCCTGAACTTTTACATTCAACTGACCCCTTAAGTTATAACAACCTTCTCTTTCATCAAATAACTTTTGGATTCCACCAGGTAATAAGTCGTTCCTAGCTTTATACATAAACACCGCGGTCTTATATTCCACTAAATCAAAGAATTTTAACAATTTAGACTGTATGAAAAGCCTAAAAAGCCTGGTAAATGTAAAATTTCAATAAAAAAAAAGTAAAAGTAACTTTGTTGTCATTGTTTGCCATTTAACTTTAGACACAAACCATCACAACATGGAATCTCTTCACCTAAACGTGGCTGGAGCACTAGTTCGTATTCGCTTCAGTGGTATAGCCAAAAACATATCTGTTTTCATTATTACTTGCATATTTCAGAGAATATGGGTCGTAGATCCGTACAATTAATACAACTAAAAATATACAAGGTTAGCTTTTTGTTTTAACTCAATTTCCCAATGTCATATTCTTATTTTTTATTTAATCAAAGTCAACCTCCAGGTCCCCTGAACCCACTCAGTGGAAAGGTTTTTGTGTTTTACTAGTACATTATTGCTATTCGTATACCAGCGCTTTTCTATTTGTACAACAGCCGATATGCAAACATCAAATGAGAGTTACGTGTTTAACTCCGCATTCACACTTTTAATCGTCCTATCACCTTTTGAACGTTTGACAACAGAACGCTAAACTCGCTAGCATGCTAGGCATAGCCCCATACTCTATATACAAGTTACGCGTTACCCAACATTAGCTAGCTTAGCGGCCTCCGCTGCTGCTTGCCCTTGTGAGGAGTCATCGTATTTTCTGTCCAAATTATCAAACAGGGCATTTAAAATTTTGCACAGGATCATAAAGAATAACAAAACCATACCGCCTGCGATACTGCAGAACGAACAGCAGCAGACAGAAACATATTAGAGCTTTGATTTGGTCCCGGCGCGTTAGCAAAATATCAGGACGGCAGGGACCGACATCAACGCTACCTGAGGACGCTCGATTAAGATGGTCTGACGTGTGACGTCAGTCGCACATCTGAATCGATCACAGATTGAAATTTGAGATCAAAACAAATGATGTCAACAACCATTTGGACATTTGCTCTAAACGTCGTTATGTAACCTAAGTGGTGGTTCACATCACATGTTTACCAGCGTTTACTAGGGACTTATATCCCAACTAACAAAAGCAACTATTTATTAATGATACATTACTGCACAATATTAAAGAAATTTAACATCATAATCATAACTTTTGTCTAGCACTTTCAAAAACAATGCTACAAAGTGCTTCTCAGAAAAACAAGGAAACCCAAACTACAACACACCGTAATCAGCTGGAAGAAAACAGATATTTAGATAACATACATTTATACAAATGTGCATATGCATTTTTGTGTAAACAGTGTTACAGCCCTTGTTACTGGGCTAATAGTCCTCTAGTATAGTATAGTGCATAATTTTACTATGTATGACTCATATGTTCTAAGGGCCAGATAAAAGTGCTTTGTTGTTGTTATTGTTTCTAGTGATTTGATTATTGTTAGTTGTCACTGCACTTTTTGACAGTGAATTTTTCTAATTTCTGTCATGCATTTTTTTATCAGTAAATCATAATGTGACAAAATGAAGTTGTGACACAAAATAAAGGTTAATCTATGGTATAATGTAATGACATACTGTATGTTGTAGGATCAGAGAATAAACCTTAAACAAGTGTTGTAATTTACAGTATGTTGCTCTGGACCTCTTGAAGCAAACAACAAACACTGCTGTATATTGTACAATTGAAATAAATAAAACAGTATAAAATATTAAAATATATGCACATTAAACCACTGCAGTCTGTAATAAAATGTTGCTGTTTGCTGGTGCTCCTTGAACAACTGTTCTTTTGTGTCTTTGTTTGTTGGATCATTCATTGTGAGATCACCCATCACCCTCTCAAATCAAACCTTCCAGCTTCTGAATCTCCAGCATTCATGTACTGCACACCTCCCCTTTCTCATTCTCCTCCAGGCCTTGCTTGGAAAAATAGTACCATCAACAGCCCAGGGTGGGTTCTTCCAATGAAAAAGTGGCAGTGCTGCACACTGTGAGCTGATTGGCTGCCCTGGCACTAAGCAAACTGAGAGAAAGCCTGCAGCCCAGGGATTAGAGGTGGGTCTTTATGCATGCTGTTTTGTATTGCTTCAGTACAGGAGGCCTTGTAGTTTTCTTACAGTACCTTACCCAGGAGGATCCAGACAGATCAGCAGTGACTCCAGGTTAATCCATTTTCTCACTCAGCCTCAGATGATATAGGCCTGTCTACAGCTGTCCTTCCATAATGGTTGTTCCTGAAACTCAGGACAAAATGTACTACCCTCCTGATGACCTGCAGAGGGATGCTCATGTGCCTGAGTTTAACTCTTATCTGGCACTGTACAGAAAGTCTCTTGAGAATCCAGAAGGTAGGTCAAAAACATCTGTATTTTTAATGCAGTACTCTCTGCCTTTGCTTGCATTTTACCTCCCTCTGAGCCTGTCTGCAACTGGTATCAAGTATCGCTTTGTTTCAGCTTTCTGGAAAGAGGTTGCTGATGAGTTCTACTGGAAGAAGCCAGCAACAGGCCCAATGCTGCAGTACAATTTTAATGTGACAAGAGGGAACATATATATCAAATGCATGGAAGGGGCCAAAACCAACATGTGCTATAACATCCTGGACAGACATGTGAGGGAGAGGAACCTTGGTGAAAAGGTTGCCTATTACTGGTAAGAAACTATATATGCCCAAAGTGAACGATGGCTTTACTGGGAAATATAGTACTGTCTGGCATTATGTCAGGTATTCCAGTCAATAGCAACTGCTGTGTTCCCATTGCAACACATTAAGCCCCAGTTAGTGCAACACAATTGTGATTTAGTGTCTCCTCTGTTATCAAAATAGAACATTTAACAGGATTTGTTGGAAAAGCAAAGGTGTTTTGTTACAATACAAAATCCATGCTCCTACTTGAATCTTGCAAGAATTTTCCAATAATAAAATGCTAATAGATTGTTTCCAGAATATAGTTATATTCAGTTGCATGTTTTGGCTGTAAATTCAGAGATTGTCTTTCTGTCTGCTTTCCTACTTCTGACTTCTGAACTCTTTAAAGACTTTAACCTACTGTTGCTTGTAGTTTACAGTCTCATATCTACTTTATGTTTAGTCTTTACATTATGGCACACGGTATCTCTGTCATCTGAGGCTTAGCAAACAAGAAATAGTTGTTCTGCAAGATCAGCGGGAATAGGGGTTCAATGAAACTGGACACAGTGGAGATCAGCCATCAGTCACACGAGCGTATTAACACTGTCACTAAAGAAATATCAGCTCAAATGTTTGTCTAGTTGCTTTTATGTAAGGAGGGTGTAATCAGTTGTGTTGATACTGTATATGTAAAATATTTGTGTAGAGAGGGTTGGACCTGACCTGTTAAACAAATGTATGTCTATGGACAACACCGGCTGATACCATGAGATCAATAAACCTTTACATTCTGAAAAGAAAAACTACCACCCACAAATAGCATTTGACCCTAAAGGGGTTTCTTAAGGAAATTGTTTTTATACTGTGCTGTGACTAAACAATTAAGTTTATTTAACAAATCTAACCAACAATTAAATTCAGTATAGCTGTTACTCGAGAAAGAGAACTGTTTGATTCATTCTCTGATGATGTCTGTTGTAATAAATCTGTATTCACTTAAACACAAGAATGCCCTGATAAGGCAGCATGAGTCATCACAACCTGAGACAATAAGATCATAACAGATCCTGAAATATTACATGGGCTTTGTGACATACTGAAATCATCCCAAATTATACATCAGAATTCTTTAGCACTACTATCATGTTTCATCCAAGTAAACATTTATTTCACCATGCCCAGCCTGATGATAAGGTTGGTGCCAGGCCATTGCACTGTTTTGGCTTCTGTCCCACATGAGAGGGTTGATACTACTCTGTCTGCTGCCCTGTGAAACACTGTGCCATGTAGTCTTCCACACAACTGTCCTGACAAAGATCCAAATCCAATATACACCCAGTCAGAACAGGTTATTCCTCCTGTGCACTTATAATGCAACATCATGCTGTCTGAGAAGGCACATCTGGATGAAACACCTGAATGAAAATGATAAAAAAAAAGACAAACCCTTGTTACTTTTATGCCACCAACACACACAGGCTCAGCTTCATACATCCTGATACATGTTTTTACATTACAGTAACAGACTTTGGGCATGCCTCTTTTGTATCTTCTCTTGCCAGGGAGGGAAACTCACCTGACCACCACATGACCATCACCTACAGTCAGCTCCTGAGTCAAGTCTGCCGCTGTGCTAATGTCCTCAAGAAAATGGGTGAGACTGGCTTTTCCAGCTGCTGATTATTAAACATCTGACAATTTTATCCAAAGATGAATTGCCGGCACTACTGGCATCAAAAAGAACAAAGCAAAAAAAGAAATAAATAAAATCATTGCTTCTTGTTGAGCTTTAGTTCTTAACTGTGAGATGTTTGTAGGTTCAATAGTGTACAGAGGAGAAGTGTCAAACCACCTCTTGGTAACGAAGACCATGTCTTTGGTCTTGGCAAAACATTTTTATTCTCATGTTACTCATCATAAAACTTCACCACCATTGCTGGACCTAGAGCTGAAAACTGGCCAGTTTAGGCTCAGATGCTGTGTTTTCTCTGATTTTAGATTTTGGGAATTAACACTTAAACATTTACTTACAGCTACTAAAAACCCTGTATTCTTCTGTTCTTGATCAAGGTGTGAAAAAGGGAGACAGAGTGTCTATCTACCTTCCCATGATCCCAGAGCTGGTTTACACTATGCTGGCCTGTGCCAGGATAGGTGCTGTTCACTCCATCGTGGTAAGTGGTGTGACGAAGAACCCTATGCACTAACTTCAGAAATTACATTTTACACTTTCATTGCATTCATTTGGAACAAAGTAACTTCAAACAAATAGTGTTCAAGTGCTTAAGGTTTTCATTTTTAAGAAATTAGACAGCTCCAGCTACATGCTGTGTCATTTCATGTCAGCATGTAAGCAATCTAATTTTATGTTGAATGCTTTAAAGAATTTGGTGGAACCTGGGATTTGTTGGAAAATTTCCTCGTTCCATCTCAGTCCAGGTCGAAGTCATTATTGCAGACAGCAGGTTAACATGTTCACTGCTCAGTCCCCATTTCCATCACTTAAACCTGAGCATTTGTTTCTGTGAGTCCATATGGCTCAAACATTTACTGGCTGTACTGGCTGTCATCTTGGGGAGATATCAGAGTCAGGGCAATTTTTTCAAGCAAGCCAACACTGTTTTAGCTATTCAAGTTCCCTCATCCATGCAAAGGCTAGTAGCCCTGTTATAAATATCTCCAGGCAGCTCCAGTGTGGATTTATTTTATGACTTGCAAAGACCTTTTTTGGCCGACTTGTTTGTAAGTGACCTTGTCTGTGCTTAGTCACTGTTGTACAATTTCCAGCTCTAGGTTTTTATCATATTTGGTATGAACATCATTTACATTAAAATCTTTGCGATAGTTTAGATGACTCTGTAATAATCATAAATTAGCTCAGCATAAAGTTCCATCATAGATGGAGCCAGACAGGACAGCTAATGCCAATCATGCAGTGGCATTTTCCTGAGTCCAGAGTGCACAGTGACCTAATTCATAATGCTGTTATTGCCACTGAAACTTTACACTCTGTGAACTATTAACCTTGGCCAGAACACAAGAGTCTGGCAGGGAACTTGGCAATTGACAATGACATAAAAGTGTAATCATGAATGATTAATACTGAACAAGGTGACTCTTATATACCTGCTGTTCAGAGGTAATAATATACGTCATCTCTGTGTCTGTACTTTAAATTCAGAGCATGTAACTTTTGCAATGTGACCACAGGTAAGAGTTATGGAGCTATTAATTAATTTTGTGCAACAAAAATGTGTTATTTGTTTTTTCATCTGTTACACAGTGTTGCAATGGAAGTTTTAAGTCATATCTGAGACAGTTTGATTCTGGAACAAGGATTCATACTCTATTTACCTGACTAAATTTACTGGATTGACACATTTTTCAGTCCTCTGCTATTAAATTAGCATATACGGTTGGACTAAGGGGACTACTCTATTTACATCAAAATCTCAAACTTTAAATAATTCCAGGTTATTACAACTTGGGGCTCTTTGTTGTAGTTGTGGTTTTCATCTCTCTCAGTAATAATATAATCTGAGAATTTAGCATAATATCCAAAACAATGTCTTACAAGAAACAAGCAGCAAAACTGAGTCTTGAGGTGTTCAGTACATGTTCAAACACATCTTTAACATCAGATATTCAAATGACACTGTATCCTTATTGTCAGTGACCAAATCGGTAGCTTGAACAGGCAACATACCGAGCACACTACTGAATAGAACACAGTCTAAATCAACACCAAACTTGGCAACAGTATCAATGGTGCATTTAAACTGGGAACCTATGACTTAGCTTAAAAAAATAACAAACCACATAGACAATGAAACTTTGCACTGAAATGAACCAACTTTACAGCAGTATTCACTTTTGGTTTGCTAAGTGGTTTGCTACACTTCTTGCTGAAATTATTTGTTTTGCTCTTTTGGATTTGTGTCATGTTTCCAGATCTCAGTGGTTACTTTTTTTAAGTTCAAATTTTGTTTATTAGCACCACAGGTGCTGCACAGCAATGAAAATAAGAGTCAAGCTGTACCGAACCAGCATTACTCTTTAAAAGTGCAACACCTCCTCCTTTTCTTTTCTCTGTTTCTCGTTGCATGTTCAGTTTGCCGGTTTCTCCTCCGAGTCTCTGTGTGAGAGGATTATGGATGCCCAGAGCAGCATCCTGGTGACAGCAGGTAGGGTCAGCAGGCCAGACTTTG